ATTATTATTCAAATTCCTTCATCATTTTCCAATACATGCTTACCTTATTATTTCCCTTTTGACATTCCTGAAGCATCTATTGTATATGAATTTTTCTCTTGCTAGATAGTTAATAAGCTTTCATGGGATACAGCCTTATTAATTTCAGAAGAATCTATCTTTTTCATGAAAAGGCTGCTGAAAACATGAGGATAACAGCCCAAGAACACCTTCGGCTAAAAATTGATGATGTTATCATTCCTGCAAGCTTTTCTAAATTCTCAAATTTCTGCCTGAAATCAACATGATTTGTTTGGACACTTGGAATGCGTTCATTTGGACTGCATGCTTATTCCACATAATTGGCAGGTGTGATACTTTTGTGTTCTTTGTGTGATATTCTTTCTGATTATTTGTCTCGAACACTCTTCTTTTTTCTTTTTGCTGTTATTCTGAAATGTTGATTTGAAGCAAATTTCTTGTAGAGACATACTTCGTATACCTTAAAAATATTTGGGTCTAAATTATGTGATTTTGCAGATTGGTGAGTGTGTTGCTAACTGGTGGAGGCCCAATTTTGAAACAGTGATGTATCCCTACTGCCCTCCTCACATCACAATGAGTTAATAGCTATGGAGTATATTGTTTTTGTGTGCCGGAAGCCTATTAGCTTAATTGGTCGTGCATTGTGCACTTGCATTGCACATGATGTGGGTTCGAATCCTACATAGGCTTACATGTAGTGATCTTTTTAAAATGTAGTAAAAATGAATATAATTAGCTTATTTTTATTTATAACGACTTTTATAATTACCTGAAGTTTATATATAGTTACCTTATTTTCGTATATAATGACCTTTTTGTAAATGTCATATAGTTACCTTATTTTTATATATAATGACCTCTGTGGAAGTGTCATCAAAATTGATATATATATATATTGACCTATGTGCAAGTGTTATCAAAATAGATATAGTTACCTTATTTCTATATATAGTGACCTTCGTTATTTTTATATATAGTGGCCTCTGTATAAATGTGGTCAAATAGATATAGTTACCTTATTTTTATATATAGTGACCTTCATTATTTTTATTTTTATATATAGTGGCCTTTGTATAAATGTGGTCAAAATTGATATAGTTACCTTATTTTTTTATATAGTGACCTTTATGTAAATGTGGTCAAAATTGATATAATTATCCTATTTTTGTATACAGTGACCTCTAAGAAATATTTTAAAAATTGATATAGTTACCTTATTTCTATATATAGTGACCTCGATGTAAATGTCATCAATTTTTAATATAACTCGATATAATTACCTTATTTTTGTATATAGTGACCTTTGGGTTGTTTCACACCATCAGATTATCTAGTGAATATTCAATGGCTAAGATTGCTTGTTTTTAGTTTTCACCATAAGCACTGTTTTCAGCGGAACCTCCCCGTATATATATATATATATATATATATATATGAGGATATAAATTATGTTGGGACACCCTAACAGAAAATGAATAGATTATATTCTAAGGGGAAAAAAATCTATATAAAGGAATAAAATTCCTAAAATTTGACCCCAATATCCAATTACATCTCATTACATATTGCGTAGCTAACAAGTAGCATTATTACCTAATTTTCCTATAAATATAATCTTATCAATAAGGACATCCCATCAATCCAAACAAGTAATAAAAAGTATTTCCTTTCCAATCTCCTCCGATTCTTTGCCTACTATTTTTTCCCTTTCATTCTTGAAGACTTAAAGTTAAAAGAACTAAGAATGAAGTTATCAATGAAGTTGGCTAAAATCACCATACTTTTCCCATCTTTGAATAAACCCGGAAAGATGATCCGAGCTACAAAATTTGTCAAGTTACCAAGATCTTACTTTACCAAATCTAAAGACATTAATGTTACATCAAAATCCTTGGTTTCTTGCAAGACAAACACCCTCAAAACCACTCATTCCTCAAAAACAAATACATTAGCAACTAGAAAGAATACTACAAAACCTTTTGTTAAGCCAAACACTCTTATAAAACCTATTTCGAAAGTCGTTAAAGGAGCAAACGGAAGGAGCACTACTACTACGCATTTGATTAGAACTTCCGGTACTTCATCGTTGTTGCGTAAAGGTGTTGTTACTATGGCTGCCGGGGATAAAGAAATCGTCACTAAGGCTACCAAGCGCGCTATACGTCCAAGTGACCTTGAGAAGATGAGACACAACCGAGATTATTCTTTCTTATGCGATGCCAATTGAAGGTGAAGATGATCAAGATTCAAGAAGTTATATATGTTGTACTTAGTTTAGTTTGGATATTAATGTACGATGATACGTCCAAATCTTTATGTTACGCAAGCAATAGTTTGGTATAGACATATACTTCAATATATATTATTCCACTGGATTAACTAATTTTTTACGTTAATCTTTAGGTTTTGTTTCATGTAATAATCATAATGTCTATATATCTATGATGTACTCGATCAAGGATATTGATTTTCTTGAATTATTTCTTCCATCAATAGTATATGCGTATTCTATTTACTTGACGGTATAGGTCCTAAGTCATGCATGCACTATGGTTGTCTCGAATTCTCGTATTTTAATTTGTTTCGTTTTGGAATATTCGAGTTAATTCAATTCAAATTCATCTGGTTTTGTCTAAGTTGAGATCGAGTCAAGAATATTGGTTTTAATATGATCTTGTTCAAATTAAAGATTTGGGACATGTTTGGAAGTTTTGTAGTATGGCACATTTATTAGCCAATTGAAAATTTTATAGTATGCAAATTTCTTTTGCATTATACAAATTAAACTTACCTGGTATAAGTTTAATAATATTTGTCGATGAAAAGGCCTTCAACTCGAGATGGATAAAATATTAGGATATCATTCTTAAGCACTTTAAATTTACTAGGGCTTTTATTTTGACGAATATATTTTATTCTATTCTATTCCCAACTTATTGGCCCTAATTTGGACTTATTTAGGCAATATATGATTTGTAAATCAAACTTGGCATCTTGTTTCAAAAGAAATAAAATAAAATAAATAAAATAAAATAAAATAAAACTTGGCAACAAAAGGTTAAAAAACAAATGGTTTTTCTAACGTGTGCCCATGGGCACACATTAAGATAACAAAATCCCTATAATTATTTGATGATGAAGAATATTTACAATCTTAAAAAGGTAGGTTTGAAAAATTATTTGAAAAATAATCAATCTTCATTATTTACTCTATAATAAGATTTACCACATTTTTCCCAAATATTTTATTCAATTATTTTAGTCAATATCCTAATACAACTATTTAGAAAAATGAAATAAAAAATAAAAAAAAAATTAGCCTCACCCACATACTGATATACGTACAATACTACTACTCAAGGCATACAATATATATATATATATATATATATATATATATATATATATATATATATATATATATATATATATATATATATATAAATATATATATATATATAAATATATATATATATATATATATATATATATATATATATATATATATATATATATATATATATATATATATATATATATATATATATTGTTGTACAAAGCTAATTGGCGCCTAGATTTTTCATCCTCCCTCCTATTGTACATTTTTTTTTTGACACATCCCTCCTATTATATAGTGAATCATACTATTTCATCCTTTCTTCTTGCATTCAATGAATAAGGCAAAATATTTTTCTTTATTAAACTTATGCAATAGCAACCTCGAGACATTAATCAGGTAAACTGAAATAATTATATCTTACTATTTTTTAGATGTTATTTTGTAGTAATTTATTTTTTATAGTCCATAATAGTCACTTTGTATATTCATATAAGCATTGTTATATTTCATTTTAAGTTGTAAAATAAATCCCTTTATTTTTTATAAATAAAATGCATAATGTATTATATTTTATTTCAACGGATTAATTTTGTCTAACAATGTAGTACCTTTTTCTAATAATGTATGGTGGTTTTATTAAAAAAAAATTGATTAACGGTTTTGTAAAAAAAATAAAAAAAAAATTATAAAAAGGAACAAATTGAATGTCTGGAGTAGTGTACAGCCCTACGTATATGAGTGAGGCTAATGGCTAATCTTTATATTTTTTATTTTTTATTTTTTATTTTATTAGTCTAAATAGTTGTATTAGGATATTGACTAAAATAAATGAATAAAATATTTGGGAAATATGCGGTAAATCTTATTATAGAGAAAATAATGAAGATTTTATTATTTTCCAAATAATTTTTCAAACCTACCTTTTTTAAGATTGTAAATATGCTTCATCATCAAATAATATAGGGATTTTCTTGTCAAAAAATAATAATTATAGGGATTTTGTTATCTAAATGTGTTAGAAAAACCGAAAAAACAAAATCCCAATAAAAGCCTTATTATCATAAACTTCAGTCACCAATTTTATTATTAGTGCACATTACATAAAGCAAAAGGCCTTCATAAGATAGCCCATACATACGTGTAAACATGAACAAAATATGAAAGAAAGAAAACATGGTTCTTCAGAATGAAGCTACTTATTAGAATACATCAAGATTAATAACATTTATCCAAACCTTGCTAGAGCAAGATTTAGACATATTTGACTGTAATACACAGCCTAACTGTACGTCGCGAGGTTTAGATCGATATCCATTGCAGGGAAGGCTCTATCTCCTTTTGAATAGTTTTCGAAGAAAAGAGGTAGCTCACATAATTCCGGCTCTTCTTGCATAGAAGCTTTTAGTGTAGTCGTCGGCTACAATCGACTATAATAACATAAAAGATATAGACCGTTTAATATGTTTATCTAAAATCCTAACAATTTATTTTGAAAAAATAAATTAATTAATTAATTAAAAGAGTACATTTATGTTTTAATTAAGTACTCGTACTATTAATGTCATGCATATTTATTTGTTTTGGCTAAATGAACATGAATTAATTATTTATGTAACTCAATTAATTATTTTCATGTTTAAGGCGTGTATATTTTATATCTCTTTGTGAAAGTATGGATCGGAGTACATACCGTAGCAATAGAAATCCTTTCTTTCTCCTTATCAATCACAACCTTGTGCACCACACTCTTCAGTTTGCCATTACTCATCATCTGCATAACACATTTTCTTAATTAGTAATCACTATCCTGTTTCTCTCGTATTTGGTACGTGTATACGTGTACGTGCACATGCGCAGTGTATGTATACTAGAGTCTCTCATCGTTTCCATGCAATTAATGCAACCTAATACGTGTACGTGCCTTGAATAATAGAACTGAATAAAAATGCATAAAGGCCTACTATTGAGGTAATTAAAAATAATTGTCAAATTAAGCTACATACCTCCAACTGGTCACCAATATTGATGAAAAGAGCATAAGGAACAATTGGAACTTTAAACCATTTATCATCTTTAAGAGCTTGTAAACCTTCAACTTGTTTGTTTTGCTGGAGAATGGTAACGACTGTACCATCCGAATGTGGTTTAAGGCCTATAACGCGTTCTGGTGTTGAACATGGCGGATAATAATTGAATCTTGTGAACAAGTTCATGGCCTCATCTTCTCCACACTCTTTCAGAAAGCTGTCTTCATCCAACTCGACTGATTTTGCAATCGCCTTTAAGAGGGATTTTGTTACTCTCCTCACTTCCACGGCGTACTCCTCCAATGTTTCCCTGCAGTATAAATGTTTATCATATTTATTTTTTATTTTTTTACTTTTGTTCTCTATTTTTGTGAAGCAGTAAAAGGAGTTGTAAATTCCTTCAAAAAAAATGAAGAAGTAATCAATCATATACAATACAGAGGGAAAAATGAGTAGCGTTTTGTTTATTGTAGATTTGGTAAATAATAATAGTAGTGGTTTGGGCAAAAAAAAAAAAAAGTTGTTTTGCCTAAAAAGCCCTTAGGGTTACAAATAAGCATTAAATATCTTTCTTTATTTGGTATTAGTTTAGAAATATATGACAAAATTACGCGCAAATCAGTGTATTAATGAATATATTTCAATAATACTTTCCTCTTTTATAGCATTTTCCAAAAATTAATAATAATAATAAAAAATAAAATAAAAACCTCCTACCAATCCTATGTGGACAGTAGTTTGGTAAATAAGTTTTATCCTAACGCAAAAAATTAATTATGTTTTTAAATTGTCTTGTATTTGTAAATCATTTTAATATATATATTTGTGATATTTTAGGTATGGTTGTTCCAAAAAAAAACTACTTATATTTATTTTAGATATGTAAAAGAATCTTCCCTTATATTAGAACTTATTTTCTAATTTTATATTTATTTATTAACATAATTGAAACGCACTATGTTTTTCCAAAAAAAAGAAAAAAAAGCGTCCTCTAAAAAATAATGTTAATGAAGGTAACAATAATGCAAATTAGTTTTTTTTTTAATTTTTTATTCATCTTCAATCTAAAATCATTCTCATAGCTTCAACATTCAACAATGAAGGAAGATTATTCACAAATTCATATGGCTGATCAAATTAAACACAAAATAATACTACTTCTAACAATTAATCCCGAAATTATAAGATATAATCTGTAAACTTTTAAGAATGTAGATAATTAACTTAATTACAAACTATGATTTTAAAAAAATTGAAGTATATATGTAATGATTATACATTAATCTTATTGATTTCATATATTGTTTGGTAATTTTTAGATGTGTTTTGGATGAATAATGAAGGTTGAAGGTTAAAGATGAAATACCCCCTTAAATAGGTCGAAGATGAAGTGCATCATTGAAAATGGATGAAGGTATTAAAATGGGGATGAAGCTTTTAAAAAAGAGGATGAAGCTGTACACATTTTTTTATAATTATTTTGGATGACTTTTATTAATTTTACTACTATATTTTATTTGGATGGTTGTTTATAATATTATAATTTGGAAAAGAAAAAAAGAAGTTTACCCTCCAAAATTAAGAAAAACAAACAACACTTTGCTGACCGATCAATCGTTGACTGCTCATGACTTAATTAAATGATGCGTAAATTAAAAAAAAAATTTAAAAAATATAATACTCAAAGGTTAAGATTAAACAACAAACATAATAAACGGTTTAGATTTAATCTCTTAGCGTAGTCGAAGATAGTTGTCTGTAATCGATGACTACAATAGAAGCTTTGATTAGACGGAAAGTGAAATGGGTTTCTTTGTTTTTCCCAAAAATACAAAGTGTCAGAAAGATAGATGAGAGTTTTTTTTTTTTTTTCCAAATAAATTTTAGAGATTACGAGTAAAAGAGATGATGTGTAGGAGGAGTTTTGGGAAAAGAATCCGTCAGCTCCTTCGAGATAAACGCGAGTCTACGTTGGGACTTCCATTGAAAATGGTAAATGTTCTTAATGGTGAGCTGCTGTAGTTAATTTTACAAAAAAATAAAAATGATTACTTCTATAAATATTTTATTTCATTTATGGCTTATAAGATTATGTAATTGATTCTCTTTAACAAGCGCCCCAGGGGCACCCGTTAGCTTTTGCCTTACCCAATATCGTAAAGTATATGATTGTATATGAAGAAAATTAAAATGTCACCTGAAATTTGGAATATATTCAGGCCAAAAGTTGAAATTGCGCTGATCAACAGGGTAAACTCGGAGATGCAGTCTATCATTCCAGTTGTAAATCTGACCCTCGGAAATTGTATCGCCTCCATAACCTTCAAACCAGTCTAATGTTCTGCTATGCTTCTGTTTTTGTTCTAATGACAGAGCAAAGAATTCCTTCCCGACTTCTCGGATTTTATCAAGTAACGAACTATCCAACCCATGATTGATAAGCTGAAATAAAAAAAATAAAAATATCAGCAAGCCGCGAAAAAAAACATTATATGGCTAATGTTGGGAAATTGATTCAAAAGTTAGTTATTATTTAGAATTGTAAGTGTACGTGGGTTTATCATATTTGAATAATTTTAAGATGAATATACTTAGAAAATACAGATGATAATGATTAGGTTACGATGATATTGAATTGGACATGTGTTGTTTACATAGTAGCTAGTCTTCATATGTACATGAATGATACAAATGATCGAAAGACTAATTAACAAGTAACAACCAACTAATTAATGGCCTATCTCACATTTATTTTTTTATTTTTTATTTTTGAGGAAAGGCAAGCTGATGTAATTAATTAAACTTAAGTTGATCAATAATACATCGAAAATTATTATAATTTTATTTCATCAGGCAACTAAAATTTATTTAAGGTCTAGTTGCGCCTTAAAATAAAATGTGGGAAAACATGTTGGGCAATGCAAATTTGTTTGAATTCTTTGAAACATGCTGAGTGTTTCTCAACTTCTACAAGTAATATGTAATCATATACGTAGTAGTATAATCATCTAATAATCAAAATAATCACAGCAAGCACTCTGGCAGTTTTAAGGCCAAATTAGAAAATAACACCCAAAAAAACCCCGATTTTGATAATAACACCACTAAAAAAAAAAGGTTTTATTATAACATCACCAAAAATCGCAAAATTTTGTTTCACCACCCACTAACGGGTTTTTGGATGGAAACCGTTAGTGGGACCCCTTTGGACACGTGTCAATTAGGTATTGGTTTAAAAAAAATTAAAAAAAAAAAAGAAAACACCCTAACCCAGCCACTAGCCTTCCACCGGCAGCCCATTCTTAGCCGCCGGACGCCAATCCTCAGCCGTCGGCACCCTTTATCCCACCAAAACCAGCGAAATCAGGCCAACCACCACCCTCTAACTGGCGACAACCATCCTAGTCCAATCAACCGCCGTGAAAACGAAATCCACCGCATAATTCGCCGCCACTCTAATTGGTTTCTAGGTACGGGTTTGGGTTTGGGTATGGGTGTGGCTTGGGGTTTCGGCGGTTTGGCGATAGTTTGAGTAGGGGAGAGGAGTTCTACAAAAGTGGTGGGTGTGATGTTGTTCGGCTAGCTTAGGTTGGGGTGATGGTGGTTCGGCGACGGTGTGGGCTGGGGTTTTGGCTCGTTTAAGTTGGGGTAACGGTGTTCAGCGAAGGTGTGGGCTGGGGTTTCGGCTCGTTTAGGTTGGGGTTACGGTGTTCAGCGAAGGTGTGGGTTGGGGTCACGGTGGTTCAGCGATGGTTTCGGAGCTTCGTCGACGATTTCAGGGGCTAGGTATGGGTGGGATCGGTGCCGGTGGTGGAGGTGGCTAGCTGGGTTAGGGGGAAAGTTTTTTTTTCAATTTTTCTGTTTTTTTAAACTAATAAACAATTGACACATGTACATGGCGGGCCCCACTAACGGTTTTCATCCAAAAATCCGTTAGTGGGTGGTGAAACCAAAATTTTGGGAATTTTGGTGGTATTATAATAAAACTTTTTTTTTTGGGTGGTGTTATTATCAAAATCAGGGGTTTTTTTGGGTGTTATTTTCTAATTTGACTGATAAAAAATTAAAATGATATGGTTAATAGTACGTGTTTAAAACAAACCTGTAAGCAACCCCATGAATTAAGAACTGAACCAAGTTTTCGCAGTTCTTGTTCGTGTTGGCTTGACGATGCATCTGAAAGTAGGCCAAGATCAATTGATGGACTTTTCATGTATTCGATCTCAGAGTGATTATTATTATCTTCTGATATGTTTGGAAGTTGTTGGATTTTGTAAGTTTCAGGAACCACTTTTTCTGTAGTAGATTTGATCAACTCTTGAATTGGTTTAGATGGTATTGCAAGATTCATAGGACAAATGGATGATACAGCCATTTTACTTGCTTATTTTTAAGAATAATATACTGAGAAATACAGATGAGAGAATAGAAAAGATTAGGTTTTGATGATACTAATTTTTTTTTTTTTTTGACAAAGATGATACTAAATTGGATGTCTGTTGTTTATATAGTAGCTTTTACATGAATGATACGAAAAATGAAAGACTAATTATTAACAAGCAACTAATTAATGTAGTAACTAATTTAATGGCAAATCTCTCATTTATTTAGTTGATCAATAAAGACGAACATTTAATCTTAGTGAAATGTTGTGATTGGATTGATAGATCTCACATTATTTATTTTTTGCGTTTTACAAATTCAACTTAATTAATTGCTAAGTTCAACTTAATTAATTGCCCTATATAATCTATGTTCGTTAAATCTATTGTTTCCTTTCCTTTCGGATCTTAGCACATGTACTTTATTATAATTTGATAAATATAGTCAGGTATTATGCATGGTTGAATAGTAATACTAAAATATTTCGTAGTAATTATTAGGGGTAAGCAAAAAATCAGGTACCCTAAATCGGAATTGGAACCTGTTAGGAACCGAAAGTTCCTGAGCCGGAATCTATATAAGAGGTTTCGGTTCCGGGTATCAAAATGGAAAACCTGTTGCAACATGTTACGATTTAGGTTCTCAATTTTTTTAAACCAGAACCTGTAAGGTATCCTATAACCTGATAAAAGTATCATTTAACTTTAAATTATACATCGATTCTAACCTATTTTTTTGCAAATAATAAATATCAAAATTACAATTATAAATATATGTATTAAATTTGCTAAACAATTACTATTAGTTTGTTTTATTTGCGAGTTATAAACATTATAAATTAGTGACCATCCAGTTTTTTTTTATAAAAATTCTGCAAAAAGTTATTAAGTACTACATATATTACAAGACATGATACCCTGAATCGGAACCGGCACCTATAGGTTCCGATTTCAGTTCCGGTTCCCAAATTGAGGAACCTGTTGCAGCAAGTTCCGATTCCCAATTTGAGAACCTGTTGCAACAGTTTCCGGTTTCCGTTCTAGGAATTTTAATAGGTACCCTGTAATTCTCACCCCTGATAATTATTAACATTTTCGTTTTATATTAATATGCAAGATTTAGGGACCTCTAACTGTACACATGCATCCTTAGTGTTACTTCTATACTACTCACTGGTTTGATAGTTTTTGTTAGTCGTCGGCTACGATGGACTACAATAAGATAAAAAGATATAGATCATCCGCCATCTGATCTGAGGATGGATGAATCTAAGTCTTATTTGTCTTGGAGTAAAATATGGCCCATATGGGTTTAAGTAGAGTTGTAACTTAAAATTGGGTTTTAGATCGGGTTTGGTTCAGATCACTTTAATTCTTAGATCATATTCGAATAAGGTTATTATATTAAGTCAATTTAGCCTCAAAGTCGAGTTCAAGCAAAGTTTAAGTTGGGTCATATTCAGTTAGGGTTATGTCTGGTTGCTTACTCTTTTAGATTCGAGTCAAATTCAAATCAGCTTTGATTTCATGTTCGTATTATGTTAAGCAAGTATAGGTTTGGACTAGTTACTTTATTGCCTTGAATCCTTCTAATTGACTTTATTTTAACCAAGCTTATATATACAGTATTAATAGTCAACTAGTGTGTGAACCAAGCGTTATTTCGAGTGTTACTTTGAGTTTTAGTTTTTTTTTTTTAAGTATACAACTTGGAAGATTGGTTGATTTTTAATTGTTAGTAAATTATATTAATAAAATGATAACATGAAAGTATTTTGGATTATTTTCACTTTTATATTACGTTCTAATATGTATTTGTATTTATATATATATATATATATATATATATATATATATATATATATATATATATATATATATATATATATATATATATATATATATATATATATATAATATATATATATATATATATATAATATATATATATATATATATTATATATATATATATATATATATATTATATATATATATATATATATATATATATTATATATATATATATAGAACATGATTTATTTATTTGTGGCTAAGACGATGGTAATAATAAGTGTGTTTTTTATATAATGAAACTTAGTTGTTGAATGATGATGTAGTGTGATACCTGTGCGAGAGTGGGTTACACGGGCCACATCGACATTGTTAAAAATGTTTTTTTAATTTAATATATAAATTAATAAAAGTATAGATGGATTCATTATATAGTATAGTTATCGAGTAGTAGATAGATGGAGAAGATAACGATACAGTAGCCTATGTACTAATGTATAGCTTAAATTAGTTTAAATATCCTATTTAAACAAATTTCCTCCGTTTTTTTTAAAATTTTTACATTTGAATGTCTTTGTGAGAGAACGGAAAATGGTTAATGTTTAAAGATTAAAAATTAACAGATAGAATATCGACAAAGAAGTTTAATTATGGGGGTTATCGAGGACGCCTACAAGGTGAGACGTCCACAATTTTATGAAATTGAATCAATAGCAATTTGCGCACGCGTTTGTGATATCTTTAAACTTTATGTTTGGGCGGTTAGGCCATACAACTCATAAATATTACTCCCTATGTCCCTTTTGGTCAAATTTTAGTCTCAAAATGTTCACCCCAATTGCATTTTTCAACAATTATTAATATTAATTTTTTATCAAAATTTCCTCCAATTTGCAATAATTTTTGTGCAAATTTAGCTTTTCTATATAAATTTCGAATTTCATATACTTTTATTACTTTCTCTCTCTACATTTTTGCATACCCCTTATAAATTTACCTTTTCAATGTACTTTTACTACTTATTTAAATTTCTTAATTCCCGTGAAATTTCACCAAAAGAGATTATCATTAAGAGGAGGGAATATGTACTACGTAATATAATAATAATGAACGCATTCCGTACAAAAAGTACCCCCTAATAATTGATTAGGACATTTAACCTAATTTAAGCCATACATTGAATACATGTGCTATACTGCTATCTATTCAAAATAGACCTGGCAAATGGGTCATTAGGGTCGGGTCACTTTCAGGTCGGGTCAATTTTGGGTTGGCTATCATTCGGGTCGGGTCGATTCGGATTTCGGGTCAGGTATCGGGTCAAGTCAATTTCAAGTCAAGTATGTTCGGGTCATATTCGGGTCAGGTCAAAATCTGGTCGGGTCATGTTCGGGTTGTTTTATTTGTGAATTAAGCTCAAATGAATAATTTTATACGGATTATATATTTTGTTATTGTTATAATAAAAACTATCAATTCAGTTTATGAGCTTAACTACGGTTGAAAATGAACAATTTGAGTTACTTTTGGTACAAGACATTTTAAGTTCAATTATAAGGTAATTTTAGTTCGGGACATGTCGGGTATTGGGCCTGTTCGGGTCAATTTTGGGTATCGAATCTGTTCGGGTCAAACACTTCGGGTCAATTTCGGGTCGGGTCAGTTCGGGTGTCGGGTCAGTTCGGGTCAACTCCATTTTCAGGTTGGGTATGGGTCGGGTCGGGTCAATTTCGGGTTTCGGGTCATTTTCGGGTCATGGGTCAATTCATTCGGGTCGGGTCATCGGGTCTGGGTCAGGATTGCCAAGTCTAATTCAAAACATACAAAACGTGGACATTTAAACTAATTAGATACGGAGTACATTCTCCGTTCTCAAAAAGTTGCAACGTTTTGACACTTGCTAATCAATAGTGTAAATTTTCACATGTTATACCTTAAAGAGAACAGAAGAATTATAAGGCATTATATTCTTTTTTCAAAAGATACTGAAATTATCTTGAACTTGTTAACTTACAATTTAAAATCAATTCTTTTCTTGTAAAAAGTTCGAGTTAACTCTTATGAATAGTGTTTGGACAATTATACCTTTTAAAATGTTTATTTACTTATTTACCCTTTTTAATGTTAATTATCTCTTTTTTTTAACTCTTAAAAATAGTGTGTAGACATTTATATCCCTAAACATATTTGTTTATTTAATTTCCCTCATTAATCATACCAACAACTAAAATAATTACATAAGACTAAATCGAAATAACTCCCTTGTTATGGCTAGTTATAACGCGCGCATCACGCGCGTTAGCCTCCCTAGTAATTAAAACCTCCGTAGTAATTAAAAACGAAGGCATAAGCAGAATACGAAGGATGAAAGTTGTTGATGATCTGATGAATAATAAAAATGAAGATTTAGGTGAAGGTTGAAGATGAAATTTAACAACGGAGGTTTAATTTTGTGTTTCTTTCACAATGTTTTCATTAACGAAAGTTGAAGATGAAAATGAAGACGAAGTTGGATCGACCAATGATTCTCTTTATGCAAGGGCGGGAGCCACCTTGTAGCAAAAGTGGATTCAATTGAACATATACTTCAACAATTATGAACCCCATTATTAATAATAAATTTAGCTCTAGCTGCCACTTCCTTAAGGACATAATATTATTATTATTAAGAGGTACATATTTATAATTATTGAGCGGCGATGACTTAATTAGTGACTTACCAACACTAAGAGCATAGGAGGAAGGACAAGTTTTTGAAAGGGAAAAGTGGAAGGGTGGCCTAAGGCAAATAACGACCCAAATTTGGGTAGATTTTGCAAATTAAATTACATTTAATTATTTGACAAAGAATCCAACTTGGCTTATGATAAACAGGTGTGGGGCCACACCCTTCATGAGCGTCCACTTTGCACCACCAAAGAGTTACTACCTCAAAACCATATGGCAATGAGGGGAGTAGCCCCTTAACTTTATAAAGTGGACATAATTTCTCTTTTCTTCAATGTGGGATACATATCCCAATAATTCTCTTCACTTTTATATTCTTTCTACGTGGGACAACACTTTCACTCACATATGAATTTGTTCATGGGCTCAACAACTTACGTGGAGACACATATTCATTGGTACTATTTAGTACTCGTATATAAAACGATAAAAAAGTGCATATTACATACTCATGTAATCATATAAGCCTATTCTTTTTTCTTTAAAGTTTAGTGGGTCCTTACTCTTTAGTTGAGTAACGTAGGACTTTAGTCCTAATAAGAAGAGATTAGAAGACATTCCAAATGCCCATTATTTCGAGATTCGAACTTGAGATTTAGGTATCCTTCGGTTGAACCAATTTCTCATGGGCACTTGGAAAAAGCTAACGAAAGCCCCGAGGTCGTTGGATAAGCTAACTAAAAGCAAAAATAT